CAGCCTAGAGAGGAATGGAGTCATGGCTGGTCTGGGTGGTTTTCCTTAAAGTATAGGTTCTAGAAGGAACCAGCCAATCAGAAGAAGGGCAAGTCCTGGGACAGAGTGAATTTCCAGGGGGAAGCAGGTTTTTGCAACACGATAGAGAAAGAAAAGAGAGTCAGGAATGCAGCCTAGAGAGAAGTGATCTCCTCATTACTGGAAGCATTCCAAGCAAACACCTGATGGACTATTTGTCAAGAATGTCAGGGAGGGGAGTCCAAGCCAGATAAAAATTGCAAAAGGACTTCTCTTACTCAAAGGGTTTGTGATTCTTTGATTGAATGAATGATTTACATTCTATAAAACTGGGCAGCTAGGTGGTGCAACGGATAGAGTGCCAGGCCTGGAGTCAGGAACAACTGAGTTTCAATCCAGTTTCAGATACTTCCCAGCTGTGTGAACCTGGGCAAGTCACTTAACCCTGTTTGCCTCAGTTTCCTCATCTATAACATGAGCTGGAGAAGGAAATGGCAAACTACTCCAGTGTCTTTGCCAAGAAAATCCCAGAAGAGGTCACAAAGAACCAGACATGATTGAACAACAACTTACAATGCCTCTACTTTTGTACTATGCACTTTCAATCTACAATATGGCTGCCACTTTCACTGCTCTATTCACGGATGCCCTTCTAATTACCAAATGGCCTTTTTTTTTTCCAGGCCTCATTCATTGTATACTTTCTGCAGAATTTGATATTGTTGATTATTTCTTTCTTCTGGAAACTTTTTTCTCTTGGCCTTTATGATGCTACATTACTACTTATCTGTACCCTTCAATAACTCCTTTTCTTTGTTGTTGTTTGGTCATTTGTCAGTCATATCCAATTCCCTGTGACTCCTATTTGGGATTTTCTTGACAAAGTTACTGCAGTAGTTTGCCATTTCCTTCTCCAGCTCATTTTACAGATGAGGAAACTGAAGCAAACAAGGTTAAGTGACTTGCCCAGGGTCACACAGCTAGTGAATGTCTGAGGCCAGATTTGCACTCAGGAAGATGAGTCTTCCTGACTCTAGGCCTGGCGCTCTGTGCGCTATGGTGCCACCTAGCCACCCAACGGCCTTTTCTTACTCCTTCCCCATAATATGAGCATCCCCTAAGATTCAGTACCACTCTCCTATGTCTACAGCAGGAGATGTTCTTAATTTTTCTTTTGTCCGGGAGTCCTTTAACAGTTTGGTCAAGGCTAGGGACCCCTTTTTGGAAAAAAAAATGTTTTAAGCAAAGTATATAGGATTACAAAGAAAACTAATTATATTGAAACAAAGATGTAAATTCCCCCATCACCTCCGCTAAGTTCATACATCTCCTTTCTTCATATCCTGGAAATCTATCCACAGACTCCAGGTTAAGTACTTCTTTTCTACAGTTTTCTCTCTGTGTGAGCCTGAATCTTAAGATTGCCCATATCTGTGGGCTAGAAGAAAAGAAGTGACTGAAGGACGTATAGATTTTACTTCTCTTTTAAATTCTTGGACGACAAACACTATGTTTCATACTACTACCATCACTGACAGTATCTTACACACTTCTCAGTAAATGATTGTTGATTGATTGTAATAAATAAGATTGGGCAACTTGATGGCAGACTGGGTCCATACATGTTACTCTCCCTTAGGAAGACTTCCTATGTATAATTTTTGTCCACTACTAAAGGTTTTAAATTATATTCTTCAGTTTCTAAGCAACATTTAAAAGAATTAATTTTACCTGGAAGCATAAGAATTGCCATATGGAGTCAGATCAATAGTTTACTATCTCTGACAATAGTACCAAAAGACGTTGAGTGAGAGAAAGTGCTAGAGATTGCTAACTTCCTGAAATTATAGATACAGTAACATGAACACACTCAACTTGACCATTATGAATGTCATTTCAATATTTTTTCCTTGTAATACTACACAAACTATGCCTGGCTTTCCTTTTCTATAACACATTTTAAAATAGAATGGTCACTTGTCCTCAAATTCTCCATTTTTTTTCTATTTTATTAATAATTTCTTGTTGTCTAGAATTAGGTTCAGAATAGCAGTTCTCCTTGTCACTTGATATCCTTTTGAAGAATGAAATGATAATTATGGCAATCTAGGAATGCAGTGGCTCTGCTTTTGGCAAAGAAAAGTATCACTACTACATCATTCTTCCATTCCGAGTTTGTAATTCATTCCTCAAACTGGACTATTTCCTCCTTCCATCCAGGGGGTCTGAAGCATAAATCTGTGATAACCGTGCTTCTATTTCTCCCTCCATTAACCTTGATTCAAATGGCCCTCCTCTCTGATTTTCGAATTTCACCTCATGAGTAGATCTTCTTGATACTCAATCTCACCTCTTATCTATTCTGTTCCTTTTGAATCAGGTAGGCCCTTTCTGAGTCCTGTTATAGTCATAGTTCCCATCCCACCAAGTCTTCCACAATCAGTCCCCATCCTTATATACAACCTTAATTTACCATTACTTCTTAGTAATTGGTTGCAATTCCCATTATAACCCTAGGAGATAGGTGCTATTGTTATCCCCATTTTTACTGATGAAGAAACTGAGTCTGAGGAAGGCTTGTCCAGGGTCATAATAGTCAGTAAGTGTCTGAGATCAGATTTGAACTGTACCACATAGTTTAACCCTTCATTCTTTACATTCTTGTACTGTCGCCAATTATTTTAGATATACCAAGGCTAGGGAGTAGCTAGGTGAAGTGAGGTAGAGTGAGGTGTCAAAGATTAATACAGAGTTTATGAACCTGAGAGATGATAGTACCCTTAGTGTCAATAGGGAAATTCAGAAGAAAGGTGAGTTTTTGGGAAAAGATAATGATGTCTATATAGGATGTTGAATTTAAGATATCTATAGTACATCTAGTTTGAGATGTCTAATAGCTATTGGTGATGCAGAATTTGAGCTCTCCCCAGTTAGAAGCTCCATGAAGTCAGTATAATGACTTGTATTTTCTCTGTATTCTATGTAATGCTTATCATGGTATTGAGTATATATGTTTACTCACTACATTGATTGATGAGTTCAGCATGAACACGGTCAGTTATACATTATTTTATGGAGCCAACCTAGCTTCCCATTATCTTAGTATATTCCCCACATATCTGTTAAAAGGGAAATTTAAAGTCTGGGTTTAAACTAAGTGTTTCCCAATTGACCTCTCCTAAGAACACTTGTCTTTGATAGACCATCTGCTCATTGTAGACCCTAGGATCAGAGAGTTGTGGTTGCCTGCCCCCTCCTCCCACCTGCAAAGCCAAACATATTTTCCTTGCAAAGCCAATAAACTAAGTAAATGCAGCAGAAGTTCCTGGTTCTTTTGTGTATAGTTTGGAAATTTGGGGAAGAAAGAGACTAGTAAAGGATGGAGTAGAATCCTCAACCATTATACCTTGGAGAACTTTATAGATCATCTAATCCAGTCTCCTCTTTCCACAGATGAGGAGTCTCAGAGAGGTTGTTAACTGCCTACGGATGATCACAAAGGGAGTTAATGAGAGAACATGGACTAGAACCCAGGTGCTTTGCCTGTCTGATGAACGGTCTTTTCTATTGCATTAGACTGCATCTTACAAGTTACTATTGTAATTGATCCAACACTTTATCCACAAAGCAAAGGAGGGAAAAGGTCAACCAACTAACTCTGCACCTTGTCTCCAAAGAGTTGGTTACAGATTGCTATGAGTATTCACTGGGCTTCTGGGACAAATCTTTGGCAATCCTTCCATGGTGGAAGTCTAATCCTCTGCCATGTTCCCACCTAATCATAAACAAGGCTGGATTTTTTGCGTGTGTCTTAATCTTTTCATCCCAGGCTGAGGGTGAAGTATGGTGCCACTGAAACGGATGGACATCTTTCCCTTTCTTTCTGCCATTCCTGCCTGTCTAGATTTATACCTACTAGGCACGTGTAGTTCAAGGCTCAGTGTCAGGCCCATAGTGCCATTTAGAAGGGCTTGCTCACAGAAAAATAGATGTGTGATGAGAATGTTAGTACGAAGAATAATAGGGGAATTATTAGGTATAAGACAAGAGCTGGGGCATCTGAGTGCTGGGGTATCTGATTCCCAGTAGGGAAAAGAACATAGGTGATGAATGATTGGATATGCCTATACTGAGGTTGGGATATCCCTCAAATGACTCAGTTTGTCTCTAAAAATAACCAGGAAGAATGAGCTCTGAATGAGCTGCAGGATCACAGCATTCTAAGGTCAACCCTAATACTATATAAGACCCAATTTTCCTGGTATTTGATTTGACATCTGCCTAGGGAGCAAAGGGATCAGTCATAGGAAAACACCAGGAGTCTTATCTATCCTGATGATGCTCTCTGTGGTTGTGATGCGGGAGGTCTTCCCCTAGGTCTTCTTGAGGCTGAGACTAGATGACCCCACATCCTTTCTGGCTCTGAATTTCTGTCATTCTATGACTAAGTAAGTTAACAATGGAAGGGCTTAAATGGAATGGTTTGTTCCTCTCTCAGACTGATGAATTGAGGAGGGAGGTGAAGGAATAGGAGCTTGGGAAGCCTGGGGCTTTGTCACAAAGCCCAGTTATCTAATAGTGTGGTGTGGATGTTGGACTTTTAAAATAATTTATTTTTTTGGACGTTAGACTTTGGTATTTTATCTTTGTTCAGGCTGAGTTAGGTTTGGGATCCTTCCTGAGCTAACCATCTCCAAGCCACATAAACAAGATTCCCACATAACAAATAAGCTTTAGATATATGAGGTGGCCTAAAACCCACCTTGCCAGAGGGGGAAAATAGTCCTTTGTCAAGTATGACCAAACCAGGGGAACATTTGATGGGGCTCATTATATGTCATACTGCTCTGTTGAACTGTGCAGACAAAAACGCCCAAAAGTAGTCTACTTGTTTGCCTGTCACTAAACTGAAATGCCATATTTGAGTCTGTGTGGCTCTGAGGAAAACAATGTCCCCTGAGAATGTGTGGTAGTCTTTTGTGATGTCACCTCTAGAATGTTCTGAGTGTTTTGGAGACCAACTTCTGCGAAGAACCTACACCTGGAATTTCACTTTGGTATGATTTAATCTTTTATTTTGAAAAAAAAATAAAGAGATTATCTAAAACATAAGCGTGTAGGCATCAAGACAGCTGCTCCAAAATATAATACAGGTATAGGAAAAAAAAATAGTGCTACCAGCATTATCCAAATGAGAACCCTGGTATTCTGGCTAACGGGAACCATTAGAGTCCTATAAGAAAATTTCAATACTGGTGATAATTTTTCCTCTAAAATATGAAATATAAAATTACGTATATAAAAAATCCTATATAATGATTTTAAAAATAAGCTTTTTCCCCTCTCATTAACACCCTACTTTCCCCAAGTTCTGCCTTTTTTCCGTCTCCTGGACTAGCCTTTAAGATTTGAATTCATGTAGTTCAACCCTCAAAGCAGTCCATGGCTGAATCACTTTAGGAAATGCTGTTCTAGACCACCTGGTTATTTGGAGCCAGGGCCCGGATGACGAGGCGCAGGGATGTGCATGTTCCTTCACACTCAGATTTTCAATCTTAGTGCCCAAATAATTGAGGGTGTAGATGGTAAGCAAAAGGGCAAAATAGCTATATTATTTTTCTTCTTTGGGAAACTGAGGTTCGAGTGTGGAAATGGAAACAAAAGTCTATCACACTTGCTCTACTGAGCATCTCTCTTGGCCAAATTAAAATTCGGAGGGGGATGGGGCATAGGGGAAGGTGCCAGATTACTTGACAAAGGACAATGTTCCCCCTCTGGCAAGGTGGGTTTAAGGCTACCTCATATATCTAAAGCTTATTTATTATGTGGGAATCTTGTTTATGTGGCTTGGAGATGGTTAGCTCAGGAAGGATCCCAAACCTAACTCAGCCTGAACAAAGATAAAATACCCAAGTCTATGACTGGTATATCAAAGAAAAATGCAGTATGTGGTTTTTAGTTAAAGACGCACTCAACTTCTTCCCCAAAATTATTGTGTGGTGTCATGAAAATAAAGTGAAATATCAACAGGATATTGGGATTCTAGCCCTAGATCTCTCTGCCACTACTTAGCTTTGTAACCTTGAGGAAGGAACTAAGTCTGTTTTGATTCTGAGCTTCATCATCTGTAAAATGAGGCAGCTAGTTCGGATCAGTTGTCTTCAAAGTGGGGGCATTGGAATGACCCCAAGCGGGTTGTGACTTGACCCGAAGGGATAAGTTGATAAACCAATTATCAAATTAGAAGATGGGTCCCATCCTTGCCTCCCCTCACCCCCAGCTATTGGTGGGATTTGTCTCTAGCACAACTTAACCATTTCCTTTAACCCTTCTCTGCACTCCCTTGCACATCTGGTCTTCAATGGTTATACACAAATGTGTTTGTCCTTCATGGGGGTTATAATATCATAACCTGACTTCTGACCTAGGCACCAGATGACATTTGTGTTGGCAAAACTCCACCATTCCTTACCACCCAACAGCTTCGCCCAATATTCTCTGGATTGCGACCACTGCAGTCTTTGAGCTCTGGGGAAAAGTAACTATGTATCATCACCCTTGCACAAACTCTTCGTTTTTCAGTGGGAAAGAGTGAGTAGCATAGTATAATACAGATGGATTACAATGACGTTATCTTTTACTCCCAATACACCCATCTTTTGAACTTTCTTATTTCTGGGGAGGGTACCTCCATGCTTCCTGTAACTCAGGTTCTCCACCTCCATCTTATCCTTGACTTCTCATTCAGTTCAAACTGTTCTGTTCAAAATTAACAACCGTCTTTTAATTGCCAGGTCCGATGGTCTTTTCTCCATCCTCATCCTTCTCTGACCATGCTGACCACCCCTCTCCTGGATACTTATTCTCTCTTCTTTGGGTTGTCCTGACACTGCTGTCTCTTGGTTGTCCCATCTCTGTGACAACCCCTTAATTTCCTTTACTTATTCATATCACACCCTCCAACAGTAGGTATTCCCTTTTCTCGATGTGGAATATATATATATATATATATATATTATATATATATATTATACATATGTATGCATACATATATGTGTATGTATGTATGTGTTTATATATATTCTCCAGCCATAATCTTTCTCCTGAGCTCCAGTCTTACATCATGAAGTGCCTATGGGATATTTTGATGTGCCATAGGCATTTCAAAGTCAACATGACCAAAAGAGAATTCATTACCTTTCCCTTTCATGCCCCTCCCCCCCAACCCACCTATCTTCTGAACTTCGTTATTTCTGTGGAGCATACAATCTTATCCAGTTAATCACTCAGGCTCTCAACCCTGCTGTTATTGATTTCTCCTCACTCTCTCTCTCACCCCAGATATCGAAGTCATGCCATATTTACCTACCCAACATCTCTTGTATTTTTCCTCTTCTCCCTACTTATATAACCATTACCTTAGTTCAATGCCTCATAAACTCTCACCTAAACTAAAGTAATAGTTTCCTAATTTAGTCTCTTTGACTCAGGTCTATCCCCTCTCTAATAAATCTCCAACACAGCAGGCAAAGTGACTTTTTCTTAAAGCGCAGGTCTGCTCATGTCACTTTTTTACTGTTCATGAACTCCAGTGGCTTCCTATTGATTTTAGGATCAAATGTTTTTTTGTCTGTCTCATCTGCCCCCTAGTCTCCTGGGATCACTTCCCTAGTGACATCCTGACCTCTTGCTCTCACACACCCACATATGAATCCATTGCCAATCTTGTTTTTACCCTTGCAACAACACCTCTCGTATATTTCATTTTCTTTCCATTCACACCGTCTACATATAGGATCTCATCAATTTGCCTGGATTATAGGAATATGCTTCTAATTAGTCTCCCTGTCTCAAGTCACTTCTTAGTCCCAGCCCTCCTCTATTCAGTTGCCAAAGTGTTTTTCCTAAAGCTTCTAGGTCAGTCTATGCGTCTCTCCTTTCCCCTTCTTCCCCTCATTAAACTTCACTGGCTCCCTGTTGTTTCAAGGATCAAATATAAAATCCTCTGTCATTTAAAGCTCTTCATTACCTGGCCCCTTCCTCTATTTCTAGTCTTTTTACACTTAATTTATTCCCTTTTCTTTGATCTAGCTATGTTGATCTACTCACACATAATACTTCATCTTTAAAGATTCCTTGTATTGGATGGTTGACCCTTATGCCTAGAATGTTCTCCTTCCTCATCTCCAAATCTTGGCTTTTTCAAGATTCAGCATACCTCACACCTTCTGCAGGAGACCTTTCCTGGTCCTCTAGGTTGTCAGTGCCTTCCCCTCTAAGATAACCACATATTTACTCTGTGTTTGTCTTCTTTGTACACATGTATGTATATGCTGCCTTCCACATAAGAATGTGAACTCCTTGGGGACAGGACTATTTTTGCCTTTCTTTGTATCCCCAGTAAGTGATTAATAAATGCTTTTTGATTGACTGACTAGTGTATATAATTATCAGTATAGTTTACAAATGGGTAACTATATGGGGGTGTGCACAGAAATTTTTTACTTATAGAAGAATGCATTCAAAAAAGTTTTGACACTATTGGGCTGGATAATCTTTATTCTAAAAATATAAATGTTTTATCTAATATTTTTTAAACATCACTGTTCCATCTTAATGACACCCCTTCATTATAACCCTCCTTTGTAACAAAGAAGTATAATTAAGTAGAACAAATCAACACAACATCCCTATGTAGAGAGCACATCTGACGTGCCTTATTTCTTTCCCAGAGTCTATCACTTTTCTGCTGTTAGATGTTTCATTGGCTATAAAGATGATCTTTCTTTTTAGATGCCTTCCAGCACTAAATTTCTAATCATTCTATGAAATGGTCCACCATCTCAAAACACTTACCTGAGCCTTGAGGGAGGGGGTCAAACTGGTCCTTAGTCTAAATACATGAGAATGAGTAGATGTGAAGACATTTTAGAAACACAAGGTAAAAGCTAGTGTTTAAGGGATTACCATTTTGATGAGTCAAGACAACAGTCACTGTCTCCATGCCTACTTACCAAAGGTGAAGAAGATGGGGGTTACAAATTCTCTGGCATCAGCAGAGAGAACAAAGACTGTTGAGCTGGTAAAAGGTATGATAGTAGCTTTCAACTCCTGGTTCCCGATTTACCAAATTGCTCTTTATGTGGTTGGGGGTAGTTGGGTTGTCACAATGGGGGCTGCCTTATTTGTCTGATGTTACCCTCCACCCTGTTTGCAAACTTTAGGCACTCAGGCTGAAATGCGGAATGGAGTCAGATGTGGAGGTAAAGCCTAAAATCCTTGATACAGGAATGACTGGGGTGATGTGGTCAGAGAGCAATTTCTATAGCTGACCCTCCCAAAGAGTTTTCAGAAGGAAAGTAGAGAATGGGAGGAAATGATTGGAATTCTCTGTCTTAGTAGAAGCAATTGTAACAATTTGGGGTGAGTGTGACCAGCTGGATTGTACAACATGCCAATAGAGAGCATTGGCAATTCAGGACCCTCAGATTCAGATTGTATTTACCATCTCACATTGAACAGTCAATTTTCTACCAACTTTGTGCCTACTAATTAACCAGAATTAAATCTGTATCTTCTTAGGAGGATATGCTGCTTCTGGTGGTGGAATGACCATAATGGCTGTATGAGTGTGTTTAGAACTTAAATACTGGTAGTTTTTTTTGTTTGTTTGTTAGTTTTGTGTTGACATGGTGGTGGTGTGGGTGGATGTAGGGGTGGCAAGTAGCTCCTAGAAGAATCTATTGCTGTTGGTGGCTCTTTCTTTTGAGTTCCTATGTTTTTGCCCCATTAGGTCTCTGCATTAGTATTCTGAGAGGCAGCACAGTGTGATGAATAGAGAGCCAGCCTCAGATTCAGGAAGATGGGTTCCAGTCCAGCTTCTGAAACAAATTGATGGTGTGACCCTGGGCAAGTCACTTAACTTCTCAGTATCCCCAGGAGATCAATTCTCTGAAGTTGCTGACCTTCGTTAATAGAGAAAGTCCCCTCAGGTCTGGCAAAATACACACATACATATACCCCCAAAAAAACTTATTGACAGGTGACCAAAGTACAA